TTTGCCATTCGCAAGGCTTCTGTAACTGACAGTAACGCAGTCTCAGTTGAATGGCCACTCCTGAAACCTAACTGGTTAGCGTCCAGTTTGTTGTTCTGTGAAAGAAACAATGATACCTGGTTGAAAACATCGTATTCGAGAGTTTTCGCTATGAACGGAAGGAGAGAGACAGGTCTGAAGCTATCTGTAAGTGAAATGTTTAATGTAGGTTTTTTGAGCAGTGGGGTTGCCCGAGCCTGCTTGAATAAAGTGGGGAAAGTGCCTGTGAGGAGAGATGTGTTGATGATATGTAGGATAGATTGCTTGGAGAAGGTGTGAGAAGATTGGGTCCAGAGGGCATGTTGTAGGATGGCTGGAGAGGAGAAGTTTTGATACTTCTGCCTCAGTGAGGGGACAGAAGGAGAAGATGGGAGTTTTAGTAGTGGGTGTGGTTGGTTTGAAGTTCTGTGTGTGGGGGGCTGAGAATTGACTACTGATTGTTCTAGTTTTGTCTGTGAAGAATGTGGCAAAATTCTCAGCTGTTATTGAAGTGGTGGGAGGTGGTGGAGGGGGACAGAGGAGAGAATTGAAAGTTTTGAAGAGATTACGTGTGTCTGGAGCACTGTTGATCTTGTTGTGGAAGTATGAAGATTTGGCAGTATGGACTTCAGCAGAGAAAGATGAAAGCAAAGACTGATACATACTCCGGTCTGATGGATCTTTTGATTTGTGCCATTTTCTCTCTGCTGCCCTGAGTTTGGTTCGATGCTCACGAAGAACATCGGATAACCAGGGGTTCGAGGGGGCAGCCCGTGCTGGCCTGGAGGAGAGAGGACAAATATCATCTAGACAAGAGGTTAAAGTAGAGCATAAAGTGTCAGTTGCTGCATTCACATCCAGCGATGAGAAATGAGTAGGTGAGGGAAGAGAGGAGGATACTACAGAGGAACGATGGGAGGGTGAAAGGGAGGGCAGGTTTCGTCTAAAAGTAACCGGTATAGGGGTTGGTGGTGCACAGGTAACAAAATGTAGTTGAAATGTAATGAAAAAATGTTCAGAGATGTGTAGGGCTCTTACCGAAATGTATACAATACAATTGCGTGTGTAAATTAAGTCAAGTTGGTTGCCTGATTTGTGCGTGCTTGTAGTGGTAAGTCGTTTGAGATCAAATTAAGCAAGGAGTGAATGGAAGTCTGTAGCATAAGGCTTGTCCAGATGAATGTTGAGGCTTGTCCAGTTGTGGGTAAGGCTTGTCCAGTTGTGGGTATCCCTGCCCAAAGTGAAATCTCATTGCACCTGGACGTGTTTTTTTTTTTTTTTTAGATGTGCTGTCTACTTTCCTAGTTTCTCTAACTGTAATACTGAATGAATTGCTTGTATCTCAAAAATCTTAAATGGGGCATTGTCATAAGCAGTGTTGGGGTAACGCATTTCAAGTAACGCAAGTTACATAATAAGATTACTTTTTTAAGTAACTAGTAAAGTAACGCATTACTTTTTTGAATTTAGAAGGAGATATCGGAGTTAATTTTTGAAATAACTAACGGCAACACCAATTACTTTGTTTGCCATGTCTTGACTGACAGCTCTCGTGTTGCCATGTTGAGAGAAATCGGGAGTAAGTGCAGAGGCGTTGTGTGCTCTGTGTGAACATGATGCTTACTGTATTTCTAGACTAAATATGAACATGTATTTACACATCTTACCTGTACAAAATCCGATTCAGTATTCCTCAAAATAAATAAAAACAGTCAAAAGCAAACTCAGAATATTATACAAACCTGTAATAATTAAATATATTAAATAAGACAAATATGCATTTAATCCCATTTTATTAACCATGATCTTTGCTACTGACCTTCGACGATCCAATTCAGCCATAATAAGCAAAAATGACACATTTGTGTTTCGATTTAGTTATTGCTGAATAGTGTTGAACTTTCTTCTCCTGAATCATATTCTTCATGCAATTTGTTTGAGCTGCGCCCTCTACTGTACAGACATGAATTTACATTTCCTTCAGCCTGAGGCGTATTTATTTCACTTTTGTTGTGAAAAGGGCTTTTACATTTGTAAAATAACTTTTTTTATATTAAAAACAAGCAAGCAAACCCTGCCCAGATTTAAAAAGTAACTCTAACTAAGTAACATAATTAGTTACTTTTTTAGAGAGTAACTCAACATTGTAATGCATTACTTTTAAAAGTAACTTTCCCCAACACTGGTCATTAGGAATATACACTGAAATCGTGAAGCCTCCTCTCATGTTTCAGGTAGCAGATGACTCTCGCTCTCCGAGTCCTCCTGTCCAGGGCCGGTCGTCAAGAAACAGTCAGTATCAGGACTTGGTGCCTGTCGGTGAGTGTGCAATCACATGTTTACAAAGTGTGCACACACTGACATGTCATAACACATTACACATCTGTGTTTTACAGCTTATAATGAGAAGATTGTCGCATTTCTGAGACAACCCAACATTTTTGAGATTCTGCAAGAAAGACAGCCGGAGCTTGTGAGAAACCACTCCCTTAGGTACATTTTCTTACAGTTATGTGTTTTAACAACAGATGTCGACAGAGTGCAGAATTTCGTACTGTACATTTAAGAGATTGTGGTAAATGCTAAAATGTTTCATGGGTTTTTTTTGGTTTAGAGAGAAGGTTCAGTTCATCCGCAATGAGGGGCCAACTGGGTTGACCCGTCTGTCCAGTGATGCAGACCTAGTTATGTTGCTCAGGTTAGTGTGCACGGCATTTGCATCATATTAATTACAGCTAATCATATGCCTGCCTGTTTCCCTTTGCTTGAGATATGCATGCATTAGTTGACTGTGTATGTACTGGACACTACCGTTCAAATGTTTGGGGTCAGTATAAGATTTTTTTTGAAGTAAATACATTTACTCAACAAGGACGCATTAAATTGATCAAAAGAAACAGTAAATATGATTATAAAGACACTGAGATTAGTTTATAGTAAATATAAGTAATTATGATTTCTATTTTAAACAAATGCTATTTTTAAACATTCTTTTCATCAAAGAATCCTGATAAAATGTATAACAGTTTCCACAAAATTTTAAGCAGCACAACTACTTTGCTAATAAACCATGGTAATAATAAAAACAATGTTCCATGAGTAGCAAATCAGCATATTTGAATGATTTCTGAAGGATCATGTGACACTGAAGACTGGAGTAATGATGCTGAAAATTCAGATGTGCCATAAAAGGAATAAATTATATTTTTGAAATATATTAAAATTGTAAATAGTTATTATAAATTGTAATTATATTTCACAATATTACTGTTGGTATTGTATTTTTGATCAAATAAATGCAGGCTTGATGAGCCTAAGAGACTTATTTCAAAAAACAAATACAAAACAACAACAAGAAAAAAAAAACATAAAAAAATATTTAAAACTTAAATCAACCCAAGATTTTGAATGGTAGTGTATATAATATGTAAAAAAGAAAAAGCTGTGTACATATTTTATGATGGCCTGACTTTGTACACATAGCTCAGGTTAGAATACACACACCTGTTACCTGGCCCTCTCTCCTTGCAGCCTGTTTGAAGAGGAAGTGATGTCTTATGTGCCGCCCAATGCCTTGCTGCTCTCCAGCTACTGTCATGCCTCCCCACAGAGCTCCCCTGGTGAGACGTCACATGACCTGGACTTACATTTTAACAAATAATTCCCTGTTTCCTCCCTTTTTCCTGCCTTGTATCCTCCATTATAATTCTGTCACTTAATATGTAATTTATATCTCTCTGCAGTCCATGTGATTTGAGTGATCTAGAGTTTTTGGATGAGGAGTTCCATCAGAGTCTCCAGTGGATGAAGGACAATGACATTGAGGATATGCTAGACCTCACCTTTACTGTCAATGAGGAGGTGTTTGGACAGGTATTAACAGCTTATGGGTGTGTGTTTGTGTTTTGGCTGATAGCGACAGTATATTTAGAGGACTAATCTGGGATTTAGCGGATCTCTCAATATTTGATGGTAAATATTTGACATTTACATCTAGAAAAGCCTTAAACCCCCACAAGAGTAACATATCTGCGAAAGTGTTATTTTAGTATTATTTATAGACCGTTAGTATGTATTATTATGAATAGTAGTATTCATATTCTGAATTATTATTGTGTAATAATTAATATTAATATTAAAATCTTTTTTATATTTTCAGTTTTCTTTTTAAATTCAAAGTAGTGTTCAAAATAATTTTATGTGCTTTTGTCATTTTATTGTCTATTTATCATTAATTCGTTTTTTGTTTCAATTTGTGAGTTTTACGTTTTTCATCCAATATTTATATTTCATTTTGTTTCAGCTTTATTTCAGTTACCGTAAAACATTAAAACAAGTTGGCGCTGATAGCCTAGTGGGCAGTACGCCAAAATATAATGCCGTTGCATTACGGGCGTCCCGATTTCGAAACCCAGCCCCTCCCCCCCACTTCACTTCCTATCTACTCCACACTGTCCTATCATAATTAAGGCAAAAACAAATGTAAAAACAAAACCCATTAAAACATACTTTTCATATTTTTTCTATATATTACTTTTCTAAGTGAAATTATTTGCTTTTTTAGTAATATGATTGTAGTTTTCACCAGGCAGTTAGTAAAAAATAATAAACAATTCCCGCAAATAAACAAGCAAATATGCAAACATCCAGCCACAACTCAGACAACAGCCTAAAACCACATTAGCAACACCCTAGTAACCACCCTAGCAACACTCTAAGAACCAATCAAAACACTTTAACAATGGAATTAGCACTTGAAAAGTTATAAGAACAAGATTATATCTGTAAATTTTGTACTGGCCAGTACAAGTTTCTTTAGAAATGTTAAATCTATTTTAGTTAGCCAAGGTTATTGTGAAATGATATAATATGAGAGTGAACTGGAGGCTTCTTTATGTCAGATAACAGAGCGTGAGCTGAAGCCGGGTGGGTCTGGCATCCCTGTGTCAGACAAGAACAAGAAAGAGTACATTGAACGCATGGTGAAGTGGCGGATTGAGAGAGGTGTGGCCCAGCAGACAGAGAGTCTCGTGAGAGGATTCTATGAGGTATGATGTCATCTGAGTCTGTGAATATTAATGACTCATGATTTAACTCTGGTTGATCTGAGACCATGTGACTGCACAGGTGGTGGACGTCCGTCTGGTCTCTGTGTTTGATGCCCGAGAGCTGGAGCTGGTCATTGCTGGGACAGCGGAGATCGACCTAGCCGATTGGAGAAGCAATACAGAATACAGAGGAGGTATTTTGCTGGAAGAGATTCGGGTGTTGTTTTACACCAGGATATTATAATGTATATATTACAGCTGGAAATCATAAAGTGACTTTATCTCTGTCTTTGAAGGTTACCATGATAACAACATAGTGATTCGATGGTTCTGGGCTGCAGTGGAGCGTTTCAACAACGAACAGAGACTACGACTCCTTCAGGTACACCCAGATCTCACAAACAGAATGGGTTTGATATACTACCATTCAAAAGTTTGAAGTTATTTATTAATTTTTTTTTATATATATTAATACTTTTGATTAGCAAAGATGCATTCAATTTACCAAACGTGACAGTAATGGCATTTATAATGTTTTAAAAGATAAATGCTGTTCTTTTGAAATTTCTACTAAGCAAACAATCCTGCAAAAAATTGTCACAGTTTCCACAAAAATATTAAGCAGAAATTGTTTTCAACATTGATAATCTTAAGAATATTTTTCTTGAGCTCAACATATTAGAATGATTTCTAAAGGACATTGTGACACTTAAGACTGGAGTAATGGCTGCTGAAAATTCAGCTTTGCCATCACAGGAATAAATGACATTTTAAAATATGTTAAAATAGAAAACGGTTATCTTAAATTGTACTAATATTTCACAATATTACTTTTTTTTTTTCCCTGATTTTTTTATTTTTACTAAATAAATGCAGCCGTCAGGGCTGTTAGCCTCGTGGCTAGTGCGTCGACATATAGAGCAACTGCGCTCACAGCGACCCGAGTTCAAATCCCGCCTTGAGGTCATTTGCTGATCCCGCTCCCCTCTCTCCATCCCAATACTTTCCTGTCATCTCTCCACTGTCCTCTCAAAATAAAAGGCACAAACAGCCCATAAATATAACTTAAATAAATGCAGCCTTGAGAGCATCTCACTGACACACACACACACTCACTCACTCACTCACTCACTCACTCACTCACTCAGCAATACAAGGAAATCACACATTCGCACCATACAAATGCTGATCTGGCCAAAGCACGGATCCTAGGATATGGATTTGTCTTGAAACAGCTCCTTTCTCTATGTAATTGATCTTTGGATAAAATACTGCATGCAGGGTCAAAGAAGCAGTACCTGAGTTTGACCCTTAGATGGCGTTGTGTCATAGCTTGATATTGCATGCTGGAATTAGTGAAACAACACGAGTCCAGATTAGTTTAATTTGCATGAGAAGTTGCTGAATCGGGTGGGATGGGATTGGAGACAAAAATAAATAAATAAATAAAATCACTTTCATACTTTTCATACTTCATCTGCGCTGTTATTTAAACTGTATGGGTCACTGATCGTGTGAAATGATGCCGATGAAAGAGCCATCACTTGAAAACTTGGTGAAAATGTGAACCTGCATGCGTTCCATGATGTGTCCATATTTGTATATAGCTGTAATATATGTATGTCAGTCTTGTCCCGTGTTTAAATTATATTTTGCACTGAATGTACCAGAGATTTGAGTCCTAGTCTGGTCTCTTTTGGTGTTTGTCTTTGTGATTTGTGACTGCTTTCATTTGTTTGGCAAATACTGGTACTTTTCCCATGATTTACATTTTATCTTTCTGCTAGGCCAATCAAACTGCACATGTCAGCTTACTCACTGAGTTTGTCTTTCCATGTTCCAAAGTCCAGTACTTCAGTTGTCAACTGGAGAGACAAGAAAACCCAAAGATACAGACCTACAAAGTTCCAGTTCCTCAGCATCTGACAGTATTACAACGTGCAAAACAGATAAGCAGGAACTGAACACTCAAACAAAAATAATTACTGATTCCCAAATGCATGAGTAGTATGTTTATTATGAATCATTAGTTACCCTGGACCACAAAACCAGTCATAAGTTGCACAGGTATACATTGTATGAAAATTAAAAATGATTGATTTTTCTTTTATGCCAAAAATCATTAGGATATTAAGTAAAGACCATGTTCCATGAAGATAGTTTGTAAATTTCCTACCTATTTCCTTCCTACCTATATGCATTGCTAAGAACTTAATTTGGACAACTTTAAAGGCGAATTTCTCAATATTTAAATTTTTTTGTAGCCTCAGATTCCAGATTTTCAAATAGTTGTATCTCAACCTCAGTATCTCAGATGATAAACCTTACCAAAAAAAAAACGACCCTTATGACTGGTTCACATTTTAAGAATGCATAATATATCAGCACCATATTGTATATCGTTGATTACGTGATCGGTATTACTGGATAGGCTTTGCTTATTTTAATATTGAGATAGCTATCACTAATTTAATGAAACAGAACTAGGCCTATATCTGCCATTTATCGTTATTGTCCATAGCATTAAATGACTGATTATCTATCTATCTATCTATCTATCTATCTATCTATCTATC